AATCCGGCTGAATTCTATTGCTAACAGCTATATAATATATAATGGTTTTTGTCAGTCCTTTATAAAGTAAGCTATCGTACAAGATACAGTGTTGCAGTTCAGAAAAGCTACACCATTTCCATGGAATTTACACAAATCAAGGTTTGGCCAATATAGACATGTGTGGGAAATACATAAATACCTGTAAATATATATATATACACACATTAAATACTCTTTGGATAATGAGAACCGTAAAAATGTGTGAATGCATATGCTTACATGGATTTCTGTTTCCCTGATCTCATCACAAGACTGTTCATTTGCTCCCAGTTCTGAACTTCTTGCCAGTTAGCACTGATTCCAGACCAGCCTCTGAGGAGCACTGTCTTCATGTTTTATATGGCTTTGTCACTGGCTTTTGGCTTGTCTTCTACCTTTTTCCTTTCTTCAGGAGACACGCAAACCTTTACAAAATGAAAATTGTATCTTTACCTACATTTTGGGTACTTCAGCTTTGGCCCACAGTTGGCTGGACGTTCCAGTTGGTATGCCTTTATAACTACGCTGTTCCCATCTCCTTAAGCACAATAAGTACAAACCAAGTGGAAAGTTTCTCCATATTGAAGTATCTATAGAAACTGCAAGGTTTATGTATTATATAGGACTCTCTGCCCAGCCTCTTCCATTACTTAAGAATGAAGGAACAGCCAATTCTCCCAAATACATAGACTCAGAATAAATTTTCCCATAACAAAGACCCAATCTTCAGCTTTATAAAACTGCTTGATAAACCAATTTACTGTCCCCACACAATGCTGCACACAGATACGGTATTCATGCTACTTACCAGATTGATATCTCTGCTCTCACAGTTATGAAGAATACCACTTACTGGTTTGTACCAATATTTTAATTAGTATTCAGTAAATAAAGAGGCAAACTTTGCACTTCAGCACCATAGTAGTACTAGTGCATTATGATCTGCAAGTATTTATCTCTTTATCTGAATTTTAAGACAATAATTCGTATAATACAAACTTTATTTTTTTTAGTCCAAGCAGGCACTTCAGCATCAAATTTTCATTTAGCCTAAATGACAGCCTTGGTCTTTTAGGCATGAAGTCTTCCAGCAGTGGCCTGGGAGAGGGAAAAAAGATGTTATAGTTAGAGGTTTGGGGAGCACCAACATGTCTCTGACTAAGAGAAGCTTACTCAAGCCCGTCTTCTCACATAACATAGCCTACATCCATGAGAACACACTCTTTATGCTGCAGCTTGCAATCAGGAGCACGTTGCAGCTGCACCAAAGAACATTAGGTAATGAATACTCCTAGGTAGCACAGGTTTTGAGGTAACACTCCATGGTGAACCTTAAATGAGTCCCATTACTTCAACTGATGCAAAAGAAATAGCATTAACCCAAACAACAAGAATCACTCTCTGTCAGATTCACGTGGAAAATATAAATAAATAAATAAATAAATAAGGACTAGAAACTACTAATTCTGAGTACTCTGGTTCCCCAAGGGAGGCAGTACTTGTTTTCCTGATACCATAGGGAAATATATTAATTTCAGTAATTCAGAACAGATTTAATTCCTTTTACTCATCACATTTTCGAACCTGGCTTGGCGCGTGTTTTTTTTTTAACATGAGATGTTGATCTGAAATTTTTTTTTTTTTTTCCTACCAGGGGAATATCTCGATGATTCCCAAAAATGTCAGCTGTGTGAAGCATCCTGTCAGAAGTGCATTGGACCTGAGCCAGATAACTGCATCAGCTGCCTGCCCACAAGGTAATTGTCTCCTAGCACAGTGCAGCACAAAGACCTCACATCATCATCTGGAGAAGTGGCTGCATGGTCTTTGGCACTAGCTTGCAGAGTTGACTCAAAAAGCAAGCAATGATTAGGGCAAACAAAACAAGGGCAAGTGAGGAAACAAGTGTTATGTGAACAAGACAGCTGGCTACACAGGCAGTTAATGTTTAGCCAGGTGATTTCCATAGATACAGGAAAAATCAAATAGTCTTTATTTCATTGTCATCCTTTCAAAATCATAATTGCTAGAATCACAACTGTGGCAAATTTAACAAGAGCCTAGGAGATCTGTAGTTGTACACAGCTATGGAGTTTGGCACAAGGCATGAATACAGACACTGAGGCTAGCAATCAGCTAATTCAGGAGATATTCAGAGCACCTAAACATTGTCCATCCCCTAACTGAGGTGTTTTAAGTGAGGTTGGTTTTTCTCAACTGCCATGAGGAGGCAACAGATCTAGAATGAAGCTTTTCCACATCGCATATCAGAGGCTTATGTTTAGGTCATCTCGCACCTAATCTAGGAGTCTACTGGTTTTAATCTCATATCCTACCAATAGTTTTGCTCTTGTACCAATAGCTCTGGTTCTGTTGCAGTGGATTGCATTGTAACCAGCTGATATTTACACTGGTGTGAAGTCAGAATCAACCAGGTCCTGTAAGGCATAGAAAAAAATCCCCAAGCAATCCTGCAATTTACCCTGCAAATATCTATGATATGACTATGCCAATAAAAGACACACCAGGACCCGTGGAGTCCAAACAAATCCATAACTGAGGAAACAGTATTGAATTAAGGTGTGTTACGTCAGAAATGGCATTAGCACAGGAAGTCTGGGCCGAATTTTGGACTGCAGACTGGATTCCTCCAATTCACAATTGCATTTAAAATAGATTATCTGTGCTTCCTTACAACCTATCTTGTGAGATTTACACAGGGATATCTGCAAACCAAAGAAGGCACAGAACAACGTCATTAGGTAAAACCATCCAGGCTTTTACAGGATTGAGGTCTCTGTGACCTTTTGGAAGAGTGCTCCTGTCTCTCCTGTAACAAATTTTCTAATCGTTTTCTATGTCGGTATCTAAGGCTTTTAAAAGCTTTCTGTGCTCCTTCTGCACATTTTGAAAACTGTTAGAAAAAGTTGTATTAGGACAGTCAGTAGCAAAAGAAATAATAATAAAGGAAAATCTCACCCAGAGGATAAATTGTGATTCCTTCCAGTAGACATTATTCGCTATGTACTTGAAATAGTTCTGTTTAATTGAAACAGAATCCTAAATCCTGTCGCTCTTGAGAGCTTCAGATCCTGTCTATTGAAGACAGTAATGAGTGGCCATTAGATAATACAGACTAAAATTCAGCAGTGCTGCTTTCCTACAGGGGAACACCTTTCCTCTTTGAAAAGGATGAAAAGACTTGGCAGGGGAGATTACTGAAAATAATGTGAAAGTGAAAACACTGAACAATCCCTGTTCTTTGTCAAAATTCAGCAGTAGATGACACCTTATTTCATAATAAAATCACTGTCAGATCATCATCTTGTTTGACAATTCAAAATGCTGTGACCTGTTTTTAAAAAATTATGGAATTGTAGGGTCTTGTCCAGCCAAACTGATTTTCACAAAATTCCTTGTCCATCTGTTTACTGTTTGAGATACAAACATTAGTGACAAGATCTGACTGCTGGTGTCTTTCGTTAGGGGCAGCATAACAAAAAGCAAGATACGAGTACTTGACCACTGTGTGAGCTGTTTGTAAGGACGGCTATCATTACAGCCAGTACATGCAGTAGAATAACATAATACTTGCATGTCAAATAAGCATAGCCCAGCTACCTCCAGTACTTCTATCACATTGTCCCCTTTACACAGAAACCAACCAGAGAGGGCTGCAGTCCCCATGAAGAGCTAAATTCTTAAAAATTCTTCTAAAGAGCTAAAGTCTTAAACATGCAGGTATAGCTGTATGAGCTACAGTGTGCATAGGACTACCTTACTGTCAGACTCCAGAGCAGAGGTAAATCTTTGCTGAATACTTTCTATAGCCATAGAAGCTTCTCCCTGAGTCCTTCCAGCAGCCTGCCTTCAGCCTCACAAGTCTTTTTAATCAATTCCTAAGTTTGCTTTGTTACGTGAACTTGAGGAAGGCTGTTTGCATGACGATAGCCTATTCTTCTACCTTGACACTTCATAATCTTGGACTTTTCCAGTCATGGAAAATTTTAAATTGTTTCAAAGTCTATTTGACAAAATTGGTTTTAAACTTTGCAGATATTTTTCTCCTCTTCTTTCAAAATAAATCTGTCAATGACCATAGCAACTCAAATTTATGAAGGCACATTGCAGACATTCTCTAACACCATTGGCTGGCTCCAAGGAAACATGCACTATGTTAATGTTATGGAAACCCTACAGATCCCTAGGTGTATGGACAATCTGACAGTCTCAAAATCTGTGCTAAGATACTGAATGGTGCTCAGCTTCTCTAGAAATTGAGTCCAAGTCCTCAGATACCAAACCGGTTGGAGCAGTTAAGTGTGGAAGATTGCACTCTCTCCTCTCTTGTTTTCTTAATATTGAAAAGGCTGTCAAATTCTAGCCAACTTGTTTTATATTATTTTAATAGTCATATCTGTATTGATGCTTTTCTACTTTTTTTGCCAACAGATTAAAACCAGTAGACAATAAGTAGTGGTGAAAAATAGACTAGAAATTTTCATTACAGAAAAGGATTCTGTAGCAGATATTTAATTGCTCAGCAAAAGCAGGATGTTTAGCACTAAAACTCCTAAGTGTTTGCAGATATGCGAGTCTAAAAATACAGCTGCTAAAGGTAAAGATTCAGATAGATGTTTGACATCATCTACAAAGTCATTGCAGTGAAGCCATAGTATTGTTCACAGGAAGCCTTTAAAGTAAGACTAATAGGAAACTTCCTATCTCTGGATCATTCCTTCACAGAGAAAGACCAAGTCTTGCTTTCTTTCTAACAGACATAAGTGACCACTGCAGGGATTGTGGTAGAAGGACATCTAGGTACAGGACAAAAAGGTGATTTTTCTCAGAAAAATCTCAGAAAAAAAGTAATCTCTAAAGTCTAAGATCCAGGTTCAAAACACGGCTGACTTTCCACTTACTAAATACTATCAATAAGATCAGAAAAATGAAGGAGTAATGTCCAAAGACTTGTAAATAGAGTGAAGGAAGAGTATCTTGTGTTTCTTGTTAGTTTCCTTTACATTTAAAGTACAGGCTGTTGCTGAATTTGTAATTGTGCCTCTCTCTGCCTCAAAAGAGTCTTTGATGATGGTTGCTGTGTTATGCAATGCCCCAGAGGAAAGTTTGAATTCAAAGGACAATGTCATTTGTGCCATCATACCTGCCTGGACTGCAGCGGAAGTGAACCTAACAAATGCACCGCTTGTGGAACAGGTAAGAAAGATTTCCTCTTGCAGATTTTTCCCCTTCTTTAGCCTGCAAGTTCCTTTTTCCCTCTGCTCTCAGGACCAGTTGTTAGAGCCAATAAAATAAGTAGTGCTTTTGCTATTGACCTGCATCATAATCTTGTTTTAACCCTGAAGGGAGTTGGAACTCGATTTATTTTTTAAAAAGTACAAGAAAAGTCAACTCTGCATTGTCCTTGCATCTTTATGCATTTCCCTTGGTGTGTACATATATATATATGAACTTTGTTAACAGAAAGAGGAGTAAAAGGGGAACAAAAAAGGACAGAAAACCTACACTGCCTGCATGTGGAAAAGAAAGCACCATATGCACCTACCCCAACCTCTGCACAATATATGCTGTACTGAAATGGAGCAGCTGGCTTGCACAAGCAGGCAGGGAGGCAGGGTGTTTTCTAAAACATCTGTCTGGGGAAGGCTAGGAAACAAGCATGGTGGGTTCCACCACAGGCTGTTACGTCCCTACAGCTGGATGAATGGGACCTGCAAAGAGAAGCTTACAACACACATAGAAACTCGTCTTTTTGACACATTTTTATAGAGCTTAGATTGAGAGCGAGGGTAATATAGTTAAATTCGTGGTTGTTCCAAAAAACAACTCTTCTCCTTTTGAAGCTCCATTATAAAAATTATTCCCTCTCACCTCTGTAACACCAGATGGGTGAAGAACTTGAGGCTATTACATACAGTTATGCGTAAGTAGCCTGAACAGCCCTTGGAAATGAGTATTTAAGATTTAACTTCCAATTCACTTAATAAAAAGAAATTTTTGGTGAGCTTTTTCTGATGACTCACACTAGATTCACAGCCTTTTTCCTCTCATCTCCTACTTCCATTTCAGCGTTAGTCATTAATGGCCCAGGTTTTATTTAGTAATTAGTGTCCAGATAACAAGAAAACGCTAGTATGGCTGGCAATAATTTGTCGTACTGCTGATGAAATTGACTTTCTTACTTTGGGAATGTGACTGAGTGGACAAAGTTTTCAAAAGGTACTTCAGGTCCAATGTGAGGGAGAAGTTAGTATAATTGTTCCCCAAGTCTCTCCGTATGGTGAACAGCAATATAAATTTCTGTATTTCTGTGTATCAAGAAATGAAGACTGTTCCCTGTTATAGCTGCTTTCTCTGCAGTTTCAAAAGTAAATTATGGTAAGAAAGTTCTCGTTCTATAGTTAAAGCAAGCAAACACTTGTAGCACAACAATATACGTAATTTGCACTTTAGAGTAACCCATTAGAAAACTCCCCATGTTGTAGCACATGGCACAGGAGGTGTTTTCTTTCAGAAGCATTTGAAGTAGGGGACCTCCCAGTTCCCCAAGCTCTGCCCTAGTTCTCCCCTAGAGAATGTAATTGTTCTGATAGCAAATAAATGCATACTTGCTATTCAGATTAAAATCTAAATGATCCCACAGTCTAGCTTCAACTAGGATGAGGATTACAGTTTAATCTACTATGGACAGAGACTGATCCTTTCCAAAGGTGAAATAGGCAGCCTTGTTTTCCTAATGGCAATTTTACACCCACATGTACAATACAGTTCAAATACCTGTATGTTCACTGCAAGGGAAATCAGTAATGGAAATCTCTTGATCCTTTTATTAGATTGATGGATGTAAACAGTAATTATTCACTAGCATGGCATCTTTATATGTCATAAATCTCCAGAAATGTGGGAGGTTTGAAGTCCTGAAACTTTTATACAATTTAGCTCATCTGGTGTAAAACTGTACAAATTGAGCAGTCAGTGAGCAATATTAATTCTCATCAGCTGAAGCACCAGTGCTTCATAAAGCCACTTCCTATGCCCAAATGTCCTCTGTTGGTGACATCTTTCTCCTATTTTGTTTGCCACACAGACAGAAGAGGGCTCGAACGTTTCCTGTATCACGGGGAGTGCAGAGAGAGCTGTCCTCCAGGTCACTACCACTCAGAGCACGCCTGTGCAGCTTGCTCTGGCCACTGCGAGGTGTGCCTGAACTCCAGCCACTGCAAAAGGTGTTTCAGAGGCTACTACCTTACTCAAAACATATGTCAGAAGCACAGCTGTAGAGAAGGTAAGCATCCCTCAGTAGGAGTTAACAAATAGCTCTAATCTGTTACAGAAATGTGGTTAAGGGTCCTGGTTGCCCTTTTGAAATATACGATCACAGCTGATCCTGAGGTCCTTAAACTCCAGCTCTGATTCTCTTCTAATATCATATTAGTGTACAATAGGAGTATTGTCCTCAAATTGAGTGGGCTTACAAAAAGACAAATGAGAAAAGAAATTGGCATGAATCTTCTCCTTTCTAGATTTGGATAAAGTTTATTTTCCAAATCCTGACCTTCCATTACCTAGAATTAACCCAAAATTTTCAAAACACAGGTGAAGTGGAAGATCTTGACTCTGAAGACTGCATACCTTGTTCAGAGGGATGCCAGAACTGCAAACTGGGTAAATATTCCCTTTATGAACCTTTATCCTTATTGTTAAGGCAAGGAAAAATTATTCGTCCTCTCTTGTCATGAGCCTATGTGCATGCTGCTGAGAAATTAGTCACTTCTGCATTCTCTCACCACATAAGCTCTTTTTTCCAGTATATTTGTTTTTGAACACCATTCCTAAATTCTATCTCCAGCACAAATAAGAATATTTTTGTAATAATTTGGGTATTAATATTTGTAGCAATTTTTTTTTTTTCCTGCTTGATTGCCACACTCAGGCTGAGAGACCTACTGGCTTTCTGAAGCCATTATCAGATGCAGAACATTATCATAGATGTCCAAAATTTCTACATCTGAAAATAGATCATTAGCCTGTCCTTTTTCTTTAAGGAAATAGACATAAGAACATATCTTAAATTTCATTCAAGAGTAAGTCACTGAAATAGCAATGCTGCTGCCCTAAAAAAATACTAAAACATTGATTCATTTTTCATGCTGGATTTAAAAAAAAATATTTCTTCTCAACATAATGAGATGTTGGCAGAGAGTTTGTTGTCTTCAGATAAATGCCATTTAACTTATTGAACTCAATCAAATCTGTATTGCATAAATGTAAGTGGATGCATCTAGCAATGCTTAACTCTGAAGGAGCTTTTGAACTCAGGATTTCACCCTTGCAGAAGATTAAAAGTGTTCAAAAGACATCACAATTCATTGTTTCCACTGTGTTTACATTAAGAAAATTTTATTTCCTGTGGCTGTATGGACAGGAGTACAACTGATCAGTAGCTCAAGACTGAGAGGCAACGGACCCATCAGAAAGGCAATCTTCACTTATGACGTCTTAGACAAATTTTTTCTCAAGAAAGCCCAGAGTTTAGATAAAATAGTGCCCAAATGAGCATTGGTATGCCAAGACACTTTGATAAGACCATCTACATAGCAGAAAGTAAGATTTTGCTAAAATCTCCTTGAAGGATTATACAGAAGAAAAAACTAGACCTAAAGCTTTACTTCCATCCCCAATGGAATGCACTCACGAGTGCTGAAGGAACTGGGTGGTGACATTGCTGAGCCACTTTCCATCATCTATGAAAGGTCGTGAAGAACAGGAGAGGTGCCTGAAGACTGGAAGATAGCCAATGTCACTCCAGTCTTCAAAAAGGACAAGAAGGAGGACCCAGGGAACTACAGGCCGGATAGTCTCACCTCCATCCCTGTAAAGGTGATGGAACAACTCCTTCTGGGCCTCTCCAAGCAAGTAGAGGAAAAGAAGATCTAGAGGAAAAGAAGATCATCAGGAGTACCCAGCACGGATTCACCAAGGGGAAATCATGCCTGACCAATCTGATATCCTTCTATGATGGCATGACTGGCTGGGTAGACGAGGGGAGAGCAGTGGATGTTGTCCACCTTAACTTCAGCAAGGCTTTTGACACTGTCTCCCATAACATCCTCACAGGGAAGCTCAAGAAGTATGGGTTGGATGAGTGGACAGTGAGGTGGATTGGGAACTGGCTGAACGACAGGGCTCAGAGGGTTCTGATCGGCAGGGCAGAGTCCAGTTGGAGGCCGGTAGCTAGTGGAGTTCCCCAGGGCTCAGTACTCAGCCCAGTCTTGTTCAACTTGTTCATCAATGACCTGGACGAGGGGACAGAGTGTACCATCAGCAAGTTTGCGGATGACACAAAACTGGGAGGAGTGGCTGATACGCTGGAAGGCTGCGCTGCCATTCAGCGGGACCTGGACAG